GAGAGGCCCGGTTTTTATCACATACGGCATTGACTGTAGAATCGGGGCGGTGAATTACGTCATGGAAAGTTTGTTAGTGGAGATGAGTCTTGACCCTGGTCTCGAAGGATGAGGTTGACTGAGATTGGCAAACAAATCAGAGACACGCTCCAGATAGGGCCCTACGGGGAGGAATCACAGGCTAGCATCCGCTCCTCCAGCAAGGTTTCCTCCTTCGGGGCTGATTTCTGTGGCTCCTAGCCCTTCGTTTCTTGTCATCGTTTAAAAATGATGAACATCAGCTATCGCCATCACAACACAATGCAGTTGTGAAATTCTGGAAGCTCTGCTCTTCATTCAGAAGTGATGTTCTGCCGAGGCCACTTAAGCATAGATTTCTCATTCTACGCCCGATTCTCAATTCATGATGAGATTGATAAACGATCACTAGTGATTAGACACTAGTGGAATGAATCCCGATAGAATCAGTATAAAGGAGCCTAAAGAATCCGTAGTAATAAATGTCACATGGGTGCTCATTGTTAAAGTGACTCATTGAAATAACTGCTTCCCGTTCGTTGTCGAATCTGCATAGTGTATTCAGTTAGAGCACAGAGATCTTTAACGGTAGAGGAGAGTAAAAACAGAGCTGTCAAAACTGATTCACCTTTTCCAAACCGGTCAGAGGCAAATCCAAAAAGGTAGGTAAGTTAGCCCTGGACTGTATCGACCTATTTGCTCATCAGGCAGAGGGACTTGTCAACTCTGAAAACAAAGGATGAGACCCATGAACCGTTCATAGAGATCTTATCCCACACTCCTTGGTGGATATCAAGGCTCTGATGTGCGGGACCCTCAGCCTCTGGCAGAAAGGCTCCCTCCCTAGGGGGTTTCCGTCAGGAGCCGGCCCTAAATTCTCCCAGCTCTTCCAGACTAAGCTGTCCGCTGCTATAAGACCTTTGCCAGCAACTCATTCTTCTTCGGTAATAAGAAGCCCACTGATCTGCCAAGTGGCCCGTTGTGTGTTTAGATTCTGACTCACGCTGAGGTGAAGCTGCTCCACAATTTATATTGAAAAGTGAGAATTTAAATACATCCAATTTGAATTTTATTCCAGTTTGGCTGAAATTACTGGTGGGCGTGTGTTTGCTTGTTTTCTAAACTACCCAGAACCTGAGGAAGATCTGGTCAGCAGAAACTGGCCATGTCTGGGTCTACATAGAAGGTACACTTACTAAAGAGATTTATTTCCTCTCTGAATTAGGAGTAAACCAAATCCTATTTTAAATGCCTTCAGTAATACATTTTTGTGGGGCCCTCACAACGGATCCCTTTGTGCCACTTTCCCTGGTGGATTTCAGAGCAAGTTGGAAGTGGAGGGATGCCCAGGGTCGTGCTAATATCAGGCCACTGTCCAGGTGATGAATGGACAGTGGAGCCAGGACCAGAGCGAACACCAGCCCCCGAGACACATTTGGAAGCCAGGCTCTGTTCTTCATGTGGGGTTCATCACCCACGGGCTGTGCACCTGCAGCAGGACACGTCTGCGTCTGGCGAGGTGACCCAATGAGCCGCTGTGTGTATGCGTCAGTTATGCACAACTGACCGTGGCGGAAGCTGAGAGTGAAGGACAGGGAAGCACAAGTCCCTGCGTCCCCTCAGGAACCGGGAGCACTTTGTGACGGCGTGTGCGTGGTATGGGAAGGGGGGGGTTCCTTTAGTAACATCTTAATACACAGCAGACCATGCACAGGCAGTTGTTTCCATCATCTGCTCCCTCCCCCCGACCACAGATAACGGCTTCAAGTCTTCCTTGTCTTTTTTTTTTTTTTAAATCATCCTTATTTATTTTTGAGAGAGAGAGAGAGAGAGAGAGAGAGAGAGACGGAGTGTGAACGGGGGAGGGGCAAGGAGAGAGGGAGACGTAGAATCTGAAGCAGGTTCCAGGCTCCCAGCCATCAGCACAGAGCCCGACGCAGGGCTCAAACGAACTCATGAACTGTGAGATCATGACCTGAGCCGAGGTTGGACGCCCAACCGACTGAGCCACCCAGGCGCCCCTTCCTTGTCTGCCTTTCTAAGGCAGCACTCCCTCCTCATTCCACAACCTCAGGGACTTTTTCCTGGTTCCCCACTTTCTAGGTTTTGCGCCAGGTCTCGGTGCCCTCCACCTGCTTCCACCCTCCCTCCCCCCTCCCTCCCCCTCCCCACTAATCCCATTTGCTTTGTTGTCTCTCAGGTATAGAATTCAGTGACATTAAGTACGCTCACAATGTGTGCAGCCTGTGCAGCCGTCAGCACCATTTCCAGAATTTTGTCATCACCCCAAACAGAAACTCTGTACCCATTAAGTAAGAATTCCCCATTCCTCCCTTCCCTAACCCCTGGTAACCTTGAATCTACTTTCTCTATGAATTTGGTTATTCCAAGTACCTTATGTAAGTGGAGTCATACAATATTTGTCCTCTTGTATCTGGCTTCTTTCACTTAGCATGTTTCCAGGGGTCATCTATATCGTAGCATGCGTTGGGACTCTGTTGGTCTTTATGGCTAATATTCCACGGTGTGGATGTACCAAATTTTGCTCGTGCGTTCATCCGTTAATGGACACCTAGGCTATTTCCACCTTTTGGCTGGTGTGTATAATGCTACTGTGAACACTGGCGAATGAATTTCTGTTCGAGTCCCGGCTTTCGGTTCCTTTGCGTATATAGCCAGGAGTGGACTTGCTGGGTCCTGTGGTAATTCTGTGTTTAGCTTTGTGAGGAGCAAGCATGTGGATTTTTTGCATTTCAACTGTTATAAGTGGGAAGTGTCGGTCTTTATTAATTAAAATGTATCTTATCAAAGTTAACGTGAAGAGCCGTAAATATATGCAGTCAATTCATTCCTCGCCTCCTTTTGAGTTCTTAACAATTACCATCTGTACGACTCATTTGACAGTTCATCACAGAAGGCTTTGTGACATCCATTATTCTCTTTAACCGATTATTTTAAAGCTTTTACTGTTTAACTTGTCATGTTTTTACACAGTCCCCCACTGAAATTGTAATCACCTCCAGGGCAGAGGCATGTATTATATTTCTTTGTACGGGAATTCCCCATGGCACCTACCCCAGATCTCCAAGATCTCTGACTAATGAGTTTTAATTTCTTTCATATCAATCTTCTGATTTATTCACAGACTAGAAACTTCTCCGTTGAGTCCATACTTTGATAGAAATCACTTTGCCTAGATCTGTTCTTGCAAACCTGTTTTCACATGTTAAATGAGGCAGCACAACAATAACGATCCTGCCGGCTAACCTCTGCTTACTATGTGTCGTAAGCCATTCACAGCACATCCTGTGGGTTTTCTCACTTCTCAACATAAGCCTGTATGCGTAAGTGCTGCCGTTATCCACGTTTGACTGATGATGAGACAGTCACTCAGAGGCTGAGCAGCTAGCTGCCCACAGCCACACGCCCGGCACACGCCGAAGGTAGGCCCCTGGCCGCAGGGCCCGTGTTCTTACCCACAGACACTGTTAGGAAGGGACATTTCTACCCTGAACCAAGAAGGACACAACTTGCAGCCACTAGAAGAATTATTCAGCCCAGATGTCAGTAGCGTCAGGCCTTGGGGCGCAGGGGCTCAGACCTTCCGTGGGCTCACCTCTCAGCCCTCCAGCCTTTTGTACCTACCTGCCTCGTGTCCTTCCACTTAGCCTCTTTCTGCCCGGCTGCCCGGGGTGCTTGAGCTCGTCCACTTCTCTGCTGCCCTTAGGGTGGCAGAGATCTATCTTGGAAAAAGTCTGGCCCGTGACTGACCGTGTGACCTTGGGCGAGACACCTCAGGGGGTTGTGGTTCCATTAGGCACTCCATAAATAGCAGCTTCTTCTCTTAGCAAATCAGTTGGAAACTGACCGTCTTACTTGGGGTGATCGATATTTCTTAAAAATAGATGATCAGTATATAAAAATAGATGGAATCCATTTTTACAACCTTCACAATAAGCAACAAATTCCACATCCATCATCCCACCAGCCCATCCTGGAGGCAGATGGAATTGGTTCCCCTAGTAGCCGCGCGTGCATAAATATCTCAGGACAGAAAATGTGTGCTGGCCAAGAGCCCTCCAAGGCTGGTTCCTCCCCGTCAGCAAAGAATGAAGTTTCAGATACAGGAGAGTCCAGGCAACTCTTTTGTAGGCATCATCCCCACAGGAGCCCTTCTGACCTCACTAGGCACAGTGTCGTCCCCTCCCTTGTCCTGGGCCCTGGCGGGAGGGAAGCTACAGGAGGGCCAGCCCTCCCCTGAGAAGGGGACTCTCAGATGTCCTGGTGGCCTTTGCCACAGAGTCATCCCACATAATACCGCACAGCAACGAAGTGGCTGAGAGTGTCACGGCCAGCTCCCGACTTCTGTCTCTCAGCATGTCAGAGCTGCGTTGTGTGGTCAACCTCCTCAGACCCTCCCTCTTTATCCACCCCTCTGTCTGCATCCTGCTCCCTCTTGAACACCTTGCTCCCTGCCTCAGATTGCGGGGTGTCCCAGGCCCCGGGCCTAAGCTGATGGTGCTCCGCTCCCAGCGATGTCCTCCCAAACCGGGGCCTCGGGGTGCCAGGGTCTTGCTGGGCTCTCTCTACTTGCTGAGATGTCCCCTTCTGGTGGCTCAGGGGGTGTTTCCACACAGCTCTGGGCTACAGGCAACTCCCCTGCAGTTCTGCTTAGCTCTGCTGTGGGAAGGGCATTGGGGGGGAGCCCAGGCCCACCTGGAAGCTTCTCTCCAGATGCCAGAAGTGCCTGTGGGCCCAGCTCCAGCCCCTTTCTCGTGTCTTCACATGTCTGCTTGCTGCCGTTTGGACAGGTGACACTTGTGTGCCCACCCTCCCCGTTCCTACCCCCTCTCCTGCCCCGCTCCCCAGCCCTGTCCCGGAGCACAGAGAGGGGCTTGTCCCACAGGCCAGTTCTGGAACGCCGGCTGGTGTCTCACTTCACAGCTTTCTCGTGGTTCTGATTTCTCCCTTTCCATTTTCAGCACTGTCTCCAAGCAGAGAAAAAACGTCATCAGTTGCGTCACGGTCCACGACTCTCCCTACTCCGACTCCTCCAGCAACACCAGCCCCTACTCCGTGCAGCACCGCACTGGGCACCACGCCAACACCTTTGACACCAAGGGGAGCCTGGAGAATCACTGCACTGGGAACCCCCGGACTATCATCGTGCCACCCCTAAAAACCCAGGCCAGCGAAGTGTTGGTGGAATGTGATAGCCTGGGGCCAGGTAACTTGGGGCCAGGGCAGGCCGGGAACCTCTCTCTGCACACTGCTTTGCCCGTTTTCCTGCTATTGGCAATCGTGTTGTGTGAGGCTGATAAGCACCGGGTTATGGTCGATCCTCCCCCCCGAGGGTCTCACTCAGGCATCCAGGGTAGGATTCTGCTCACCATCACTTTGCATAAGCAGCGTTTTCAGTTTTCAGTTCTATAATTAATACCTTACCACCTTTACGGTGGCTCTCCCTTTGACTAGGTTGATAAGGACGAAACAAAAGCCACCCGGTTCCTTATCCACGGGTCGGCGATGACCCCTGTTTTAGGGAGTTCCTGACTGACTTTTAGCAGGAAGAAGCCCTAGTGGTAGAGCAGCTTCCTGGGTGGAAAGAACTTTCTCTGAGTCTTGGCCGGTGAGGATGACGGAGGTTCAGCTCGGCATCGCCTCGGGGCTCACTGTTGGGAGGAGAGGTCGCGGAGGGTGTGTTTGTTTGCTCACACGGTGGCTTGAGAAAAAGGAGTCCTTCCATCCCCTGGAGGCTCGCCCTGACAAGTGCGCTCTAGAATAAAGACCGAGAACGTAACCTTCCGAGGAAACTTAGTGGCTCTGCCCACGTTTGGTGGCATCTCTTCAGTGACTCCCTTGTTCACGCTCACCAGTGGCAGAATTCGGGGAACAAACCAAAAGCCATCCGCTTCCCCGCCACAGACTGTCACCAGCCCATCTAAGGCAGCACCTTCACGAAAGCCCTGTTTAGAAGGAAAGAGGAACAAACTGCCAAAAAAAAGACCTTGCTTAGATTCAGGGAGCTGTTGGGGCCCCTGGCTGGCCCAGTCAGTTAAGCGTCCAACTTTGGCTCGGGTCACTGTCTTGTGGTTTGTGAGTTTGAGCCTCTGTCCCCCTCTCTCTGCCCCTCCTCCCCCCATTCCTTTTCTTGTTCTCTCTCTCTCTCTCTCTCTCTCTCTCTCTCTCTCTCTCTCACACACACACACACACACACACACACACACACACAAAATAGACCTTTTCTTTAAAAAAAAAAAAAAAAGATTCAGGGAGCTATTCACCAAGAAGGACACCCATCTGTGTCACCTGCTGCAGGAGACCTTGGAACCTTTTTGGGGCGGTCGCCATGTGTGAGGCCCACTAGTCATGGGCCAGTCTGGTTGTGCCCCTGAGAGGGAAGAGCAGAATTGAGGATGGGGTCCTTAGGAACTTTCCCAGCCCAGCACCATAGGCCGGCCTGCATAGTGTGGGACACAGGATATCTCTCTTCCAGAACCCTCTTTCTCTCCCAGGCAAGGGTTTTAGTAGTAACCTTGGCAGAAAGCAACACTCTCTAGGACCAAAGGAACCCGTAAGACAGTCAAAGTGGTTTGCCCAGGAGAGAGGACTCCTCAGAGCAGCGGCCCTCATACTGTGCTGCTCATATAACCCTTCAATGTTTAAAACGATATCCATCGCATGTTTTTAAGTTCACATCCTGGCAAAGATATCAGTTCCGTCACGTTGTGTATGTCGTGCCATTACTGAAGTACTTTAAATGTTTGTTAAGACCTTGGAGCTGCACAGTCAACTCCCCCGGTCCCGGCACCCCGCCTTACCCCCTAGTGAGCAACTCCTCCTCCTCGGCCAGGCAGCCAAAGCCCATCTCACCTCTGTCACACCTTCCCCGTGACCACCGCCTCACTTCCGAATTTTATTTCGTGAATGGATGGATAGGGTGGGGAGTTTACAAAAGCGTCTGCAGCCTGAATAAGGTAAGGCTGGACAGCCTTCCGTGTTTCTTACTGCACAAGGCTTGGCTTTGATATCAGGGGACTATCTGCCCCTCAGGAGCTGGTCAGGCTTTGCATGCCTGGAGGCAACACACCATATTAACTTTCCAGAAGGAATAGGAGACTGTGGATGTGAGAGAGAAGGTGGGAAAGGAAAACCAGTAGATGTTAGTGCTGGTAAATCCGTTCAGGAAAAGATACATTTGCAAATTGGGAATCTGGAAATTGACCCCTTAAGTCTTTATCGCCATGGACCCTCAAGCCCTCAGGAAGCCCTACACACACCCGCTTAAGACTGCAGCTTTTGAGAGGCCACCTGTCTGGCTCAGTCAGTAGAGCATGCGACTCTGGATCTCAGGGTTGGGAGTTCAAGCCCCATGTTGGGATTACTTAAAAAAAACCCAAAATCTGAAAAACAAAACAAAAAAAGATGCAGCCTGTGGTGCACACGGTTTAGTGGGAAGGGCTTTCCTGCTTAATCAGCAGGTCTCAAGACTGTGTTGTTGAAACCCTTAAGGAAGCCCGGCCCTTTTATCGAACAGGAAGAGGAGATAGTCCTTCCTCATCTGCAATCCAAAAAACTCTGAACACCAAGTTTTAACTTTATAGCAAACTCATTGGTGGTGAAACCTGGCCTGAGTCAACGAGGGGCCGTGCACAGTCTCTTTGTTGTAGTTATTTGTGCCCCTTAGTGAAATATCCCTGTGTTTTGGAGCGAGAATCTTCACGTCTTTGATTACAAAGTGGTGCCCAAGGCTCTGCTGGGGGTAACCTAAGGCATTGAACCTTTCTAAAACCTAAACTTCTGCATTTCAAAAACGAATGTGTGGCCCCAGGGATTTCAGATCAGGGATTGAGACCTGCAAGCATGAGACGGTGATTTTTGTTACTCTGTTATGTCGGGAATACCCCTGTTCTGAGACACCCCAGGGGGACTCTGTCACAGTAATGATCCCTTTAAAAGATGGATAATGGCTCAAGACGGATCTTCTTGAGGTCATCTGCGAATTCATTTGTTTTTAAAGGTGGCTGGTGCTGAGTGTCTTGGCCTTTTAAAACGAGATGAGGGATGCATGAGAGAGCAGCCAGATTTCCGCAGGTTGGGAAGCTTCCAGCGTGGGGGCACCTGGGTGGCTCAGTCAGTTAAGCGTCTGACTTCAGCTCAGGTCATGATCTTGCAGTTCGTGAGTTCAAGCCCCGCATCAGGCCCTCTGCTGGCAGTGCTGAGCCCGTTTCAAATCCTCTGTGCCCCCTCTCTCTCTGCCCCTCCCCTACCCTCACGCGTGCACCCGCGTGTGCACACACATACACTCTCTCTCTCTCAAAAATAAACATAAGGAAAGAAAGAAAGATGTTTAAAAAAAAAAAAAAAAGAAAGAAATCTCCCAGCTTGGAGCTCTGTCGGCCTTTGATGCTGGTGCCATTCCACGGGAGGTGACAAATTTTGAGGAGAGTTACTGAAACTTTAAGACCACCTGGTCCAACCCCTGGTGGAGACGAGTGAAGAGGCTGAGGGCCAGCTTTGCCAGTGTAACAGCAGTTGTGTGTCTTGAGAAGCCACCAAGGCAAGAGAGGACAGCTCTGTGGAGCCGCATTTCACGCCTTTCAGGTTACATTAACCGGTTCCATCCTCGGCCCATCGCGCTCTGTGCCTGCGGGCGGCGGGGCAGCTCAGAGGTCTTACCCCGCTGTCTTTCCACAAGGACTGCGTGCTGTCTGAACGGCTGAGAGTCTCTGAGGGACATTTCCAACCAAAAAAAAAGGTTGGAGCGGGGGAGGTCATTCCCCGCGGTAACACTACTGGTTCTAAAGCAACCAGTGCTGCTATCTCCGGGGATCCCCATGGTCTAACTTTCCACTGTGAAGAGAGATTTATTTTCCCCTGTGGGACATGCTGCAGAGTCTTTCTAGTGACAGGTAAGAGGCAGGAAGGAACTTCATTCCGGTGCCTGCTTGTCCCCAGCCTGTGGTGTTGAGAAACACCCAGGCTCAGAAAAATCCGAACGGCAGCCTTCTTCAGCTTCCTGGTGCCCGGGTGGCCCACAGAGGCCGAGGTGTGAACAGGTTGTAGCCAGCCAGGTGTTCCCTGGGCTCAAGTCACAGCAAATGCTGTGCAGACCGCAGTCCGTCTTCTCACAGAACTTACCCCTCCTGTGGTTCTGAGCTCAGGAAGGAGCCCTGGGGATTTCTCACATAACCTTCCCAGGTCTCTTGGGTTAGTTAAGGCTCCTTTGGAAGGCAGCTGAGTGAACTCTACACTTATGCCATCAGACCCATAATGTATTGGAAGGAATTAAGAGAGCTGAGGGCAAGTTCAACAACTACATCCCAGGCTGGGCAGGAGCCAGAACTCCTGAGACCTGGGCCGTTGGGGGCCCAACGCCTGCTTTCTGGAGCGCTGCCTCACCCTGACCCGGTGACTCCCAGGCTTCCAGCTTCCCATTTCCAGGAGACAGGATTTGGTTGTCCCGGCTTGGAGGAGACACCTGTTCCTCGAGCGTCAGCTTTAGCCAGGAGACAAGGTTCAATAAGAAAGATATTAACAATAGCTAATGCGTTTAAGAGCTTAACACATGACAGACACTAAGCGTTCTATGTACATTAACTCGTATGAACCTCGTGACCACCCTATAGAGTTACCATTATTCTCCCAGTTTTCCGGATGCGAAAATGGAAGCACCAAGAGATTAATTAAGTCGACCAAGGCCATGCGGCTGGACCTCGCAGGAGTCTGGCTCCCCATCTTAATGTCTTGGTCCCTCACAAGACCCCACCCCTTATCTGGAGGTCCCCTTCTCTGACCCAGCCCCCCGTTCCCTGTCCCCGCAGTGCTGGTAAGAGGTGCATGCTGGGCTCTGTCACACCATTTCATCTACAACTTCTAACCTCTTCACTGTAGACTCAAGCTACGGATAACTCAAGCTCAGGGTTTTCCTTCAAATATAATCACCACGCAGTGCCCTGAAAGTTGGAAGTAGGGAGAGAGACAGCCTCCACCGCTGGGGCCCACACAGCAAGCACAGTTGTGGCCTGCTACTGACCAGCAAGGACTCTGGCCCCACCACAGTAGCACTGCGGCTGAGCAAAGGGGAGAAACCAGGCCCTGCCAATGGCCGACATTTGCAGCTGTCCTTCTCTTACCCTGCAGTGGGTCCCCCAAACCCCTCAACCCCCCAGGTTTTGGAAGGCCTTTGAGAGTCTGAATGGGTTTGGCTTTAGCATAGCTCCGTACGCCAGGGCCTGGCTGCCTCCTCTCCTGGGGCGCTTATTACTAATACAGATTCCCAGGCACCTCCCCACAGGGTTCTGATTCAGTGGGTAGGAGGAAAAGACCCACAGGTACCAATGCACAGATCTGGGGGTCCCCGGTAGGACCCACCACCTCCCTCCCCAGTGAGGCAGCCCTCGCTCTCCGGGGTGGGGGTGGGGGGAGGGCGTTCTGCTGCCTGTGGGGCAGGGAGGCTCCTCGTGGACTTCAGTGCGCACCCCCATCTCCCATCCCCACGTTGCCGGTGTCCCAAACCTTCACTCTTCATGTTTCTCTCCTTCAGCAGTTACTCAGTGTTCCCTCTTGCTGGCCCTAGCCATCTCCTCCTTGACTTTGGTTTCACCACCCTGAGATTTGTAATGGAATTGATCCAACCCAGTTACGGCAAGGGCCTGCCTGCTCCCTGGTGGAGGCTTCATTCATACTTAGCATCTTCATCCATACCCGCCTAGTTCACACTAGCAACCATGAGTTGTTTTTCCCTCAGGACGTGTGTGGTCCTCTTTCTGAGGCTTGTTTATCTGTGCCCTGCTTATCTGTCACTGTGTCTCTGGATCTCAGCAGACAAGCCCCATGGGGCACGAAGAGCTACAGAGACCTCTCCTCCTTTCCTGCGTTACACTCTCCTTGTGCTTTTCCATGTCACCAGATGAGAATCCTAAAGTCCAGCAAGCTGGGATGGGCTCCTAACCCCTGGGGCGAGCCAAAGCCCAGCGGCCCGTCCAGACTCTGGGCAGACTCTTAACTGGGTCCAGGGGAGACGAGGCTGACTTTGGTGGGCCAGTCTTGGGAACCCATTCCTTCCCGGAAGACCGCCGTTGTTTCCTGGAGGGGCAGGGTCTTCTGGGCAGCGGAGGACGTGTGATCCCTCTGTGACCTGTCGCTCCTCCTCACACAGTCACCACTGGCCAGCACTCGTCCTACAAGTCCAAGTCCTCCAGCAACGTGACCTCCACCAGCGGTCACTCTTCAGGGAGCTCGTCCGGAGCCATCGCCTACCGGCAACAGCGGCCGGGACCACATTTCCAGCAGCAGCAGCCTCTCAATCTCAGCCAGGTGAGTGCCTCCTGATCCTGTCCCAGCGGCCAGCACGTCAGTGCCATCCCCTCCGTTCCCCAGCCCGGTAGCAGGTCACCGCTGGGGCCCCTCACCCCGCCCACAGAGCCCCAGCCCCCTCGCGGCAGGACGCATCCTGAGCGACCTCTGACTTCTTCCCTCCATGGGTTACCATTGGGGGAGCTAGTATGACTGGGTCACACAGAGCCAGCCCGAAGTAAAACGAGTTGTCCGATGTCACAAAGCACTCAGTGACGTGGTGCCAAAGCTTAACAACAGGATGGCCCACGTCTTGCCAGTTCAGCCTAGCAAAGGGTAAGCCACGGTGTCCTGGCCCAGTCAGACCAGGATTCCAGGGAGATAGTCTGACGGAGTTGGGCTTGCTGTTCATTGCAGTGAGGGAGGCCAGACCACACCCAGAAAACCCCAAACCGAGGGCAAGAGAGGATTTGGAGAGGGTGGGTGGCCTTTAGGTGGAATTATAAATGAAGCAGGGTCTCCGTGGACGGAGCCAGCCTGGGTGCAGAGGGCCTAGGTCAGGTCTGAATTGCAAAGCGGACCCAGGGGCCTGTTCCCTCAGACACCACGGAGGTGCAGTGAAGGGGGAGTTTGTGTTCAGAAACCCCTCATCCGAGGCGGTGCACCTGATAACCTGAGGCTGCGTCCCTGTGTCATCATGACTCAGGCTCTCTGGAAGAGATTTATACCAACGTAACTTCAAACAACAGAGTTTCCAAGAGCCTAGGATTTTAGAGAACAGGATTTCACAGTGAGGGAGGAAGCACTTGTCACTGAGAGGGGCTCCTTTGACACTTCCTGGACCCATGTGCTCTGAGGAGACACAGTCTCCTGTTACCTTTCCAGCTGCCTTGATCTTGCGGCCTCTCTGGCCCCTTCTCAGTCCAGGCTGACGTGCCAAGGGGGACGCCTGCTGTCACTCCAATGGCTCTGGCCTCCTCCCCTCTCCCTCCTCCCTCCTCCTCCTCCTCCTCCTCCGCCCTCCCCCCCCCCCCCCCCCCCCCCCCCCTTCCCCCTCTTCCCCCCCCCCCGCCCACCTCCCCCTCCTTCTCCCGCTCCCTCCTCCCCTCCCCCCTCCTGCCCCTCCCCTGCTCACCACCCTCCCCCTCCTCCCCCTCCCTCCCGCACCGTCCTCCCCCTCCTCACTTCACTCTCTTCCCCTCGTCTTCATCCTCCCCTCCCCTCCTCTTCCTCCCCTTCCTCTCCTCCCACGTGTCTGGCCCCCAATGCAGCCCTCTCCTGGTGCTTCTCCTCCTCCAGGCTCAGCAGCACATCACCGCAGAGCGCGCCGGGAGCCACCGCCGGCAGCAGGCCTACATCACTCCCACGATGGCTCAGGCCCCGTACTCCTTCCCGCACAACAGCCCCAGCCACGGCACTGTGCACCCCCACCTGGCCGCAGCTGCCGCCGCAGCCCACCTCCCCACCCAGCCCCACCTCTACACCTACACGGCGCCCGCGGCCTTGGGCTCCACCGGCACCGTGGCCCATCTGGTGGCCTCCCAAGGCTCAGCACGGCACACCGTGCAGCACACTGCCTACCCGGCCAGCATCGTCCATCAGGTCCCCGTGAGCATGGGCCCCCGGGTCCTGCCCTCGCCCACCATCCACCCGAGTCAGTATCCAGCCCAGTTTGCCCACCAGACCTACATCAGCGCCTCTCCAGCCTCCACCGTCTACACTGGATACCCACTGAGCCCCGCCAAGGTCAACCAGTACCCTTACATATAAACACTGGAAGGGGAGGGGAGGGGAGGGAGGATGGCCAGAGGGGAGGAGGGAGGAGGGGTGAGGTGGGAGCCGGGCTTTTTATACTGAAGATGCGGCACACAAACAATGCAACGGGGCAGGGGGGGCAGGGGGCAGGGACAGACACAGATGAAACTTGAACTAGGAGGTGGGGGGACTTAGAGCAGAGAAGAGAACGTTTTTAAAAAAGAAGGGATTGAGGAGGGGGAAATCTATGCTTTTTATTTTAAAAAAGAAAAAGAAAAAAAAGAAAACGTCAGTAACAAAAAACACAGCTCACGAACCCATTCTGCACCAAACTGGAAAGGAGAAGAAGAGAGCGACGGAAAATTCTGGAAATGGGGGGCCCCAGTTTTTGAAGAACTTTATCTATGAACTTCTCAAAGATTATTTTCATATGGCGGCAAGTGACATTTAAGAATTTGCTGTCAGGGACACCTGATGTGGAAATCCAATAGATTTTTAATTATGGAACATAAGAATTAGGGATTTTTCCAGAACTCTAAAGGGTCAGCAGCCCTCTAGAAGGTCAGGCCATGGCCTGAGGAGGCTGATACCTGGGGGTTGGTGTGGGGTTGGCAAAAGCCCAGTTCTGGCTCGTTTGTCAGGACTGGAGTGGGGGGTGGCCAGGGCTGACGGAAGACCCCTTAGCAGAGGGCGCATTTTCTCTTCCTGAGCACTCTGGATAAATCCCTAAGCAGTGTTACTCCTCCGGTGTCATTAATAATGTGTGTTGCAAACTTTAGGGGTTTTTTTTCTTTCCTGAAGATTTATTTTCTCTTTGAATCAATCCCTAGTCACGTAGCATAGGGCTAGTGGTCGTCGCCGACACCCTAGTAGAATGTAGCAGTCTACACCCGTTTTCTACTTTGTGTTCAACTCCAATGATACCAATAGACTATTACTCAATGTAATTGCACAAAAAAAAAAAAAAAAATGGTATAACATAGGCATGTAACCAGTGTGGTGGTCCAGGTGTGTGAGCACGAACGAGTGTGTGTGGGTGTGAGCGTGGATGCCACCCTCCCTGTGTGTCCCTCGGCGCCGCCATCACGGTTCTCGCATCCTTGATTTTACACCGTTCCCTCCTAGTGCCTTACCGACCGACAGACGCGGTGTGAGGGTTGATTTCCATGGTACTCCAAGAAGCTGACTGAGGCGAGTCACATCACCTCAGCTCTTCTCTTGTGCTGTTGTAGATTTTACTCTGGTCTTTCCTTGTTTTGTTTTGTTTTGTTTTGTTTTGAGTTTTAACTTTATTTTAATACCTGTTGTCTTTTTTGAGCTGTTTGCTAACAGAGGGGCATCAGGGAGCTGGCAGGAGCGGGGGGGGGGGGGCACCCGTGGATCTTGAGAGAGACGTGGGAGATGGATGGCGGGTGGACAAATTTGACTTTTATCTTGGAGACAAGGAACAAGAGAGACTCCCCACCCTGCACCTTCTCCCCACTCTGCCTTCAGTCCACCAGTGGGGCTGGCTCTAGTGCTGTGGGAGCAGAGGTCCCAGCTGTGTTTGTGGAAATGTTGGCCTTGCCTGGCGGCTACCTCCTTCCTAATATGAAAGGGACAGAGGAGAGGAGGCCTGGTACCCAGCCCCAGGCTCTCAGACCCACCCCATGTTCATGCACGGCCCTGCCCCTCTCTCTGGTTCCACCAGCTGTGTTTTGCTCTCACGATTCTGCCAGATCCCTCCCTCTGTAGACAACCATCAACCTTTGTTTGCTGCTGAATCTTTCCTCACATTACCAGGCCTACCCAAGACTCGACTTTGGCTTTGGTTTTTAGAGGGGTCTGGTGGGCAGAAGGTCGGAGGGACATTTAGGAGGGTCACGAGGGGGTCTTACACTGCACTTTGGAACACTCCCACGGGCACTTAAGTTTCCAAAGAAATTTGCCCTTTGCCCTCTTTGCACCTTTGATACATTCTGGAAGTTTTCTCAGGCTGTGAACACTGCAGGGGGTGGGGGTGGGGGGGGAGTAGGGAGAGCTCCATTCATAGCAAATTATTCTTGAATACGTGAATGTTGGGAGACTCTGTCTGGTCACAGATGGGGCTCGGAAGGGTGGTCCTAATTGTCTGATTCTCGATGCTGAATCCTAACCGATCCCAAAGCCAAGTTTCCAAGGTGCAAAGAGATGGCTCCTGGTTTTGTCAGTTCATCCTCACGCTCCCTGCCCCCCTCCACAGTCTCCCCTAACCATCTACTGTGAACAGTGGTTTTATAGTGCTATCCAGCCTGATTCAGTCATGAAGCCAAGCCACTACCTTAGCTGTTAGCTGTGAAATGTAAAATAACTCTGGAAACTCCCCCTCCCCAACCATAAATTCTGCTCATCTAACAAAGAAATAGGTCCCCGAACTGGAACCCACTTAGTCCAGGCCTTAGGCTGGAAGGAAGGACCCCACGGCCCACTGGAGGCACGCAGGCAGCTCCCATGTCCCCAGCAGGCAAGCCCAGGACGAGACCCTCTCCTTGCGGAACCACCAACCGATCGGCCGATCGATACTCTTTACCCAGAAGTGAGGAAGTGCTCTCTGTCAGAGACCACGGGGAAAATGGCCAGTCCGGAGAGAGCAGGGGAAGTGGGAGCCAGGGCCACGCCGGCCTGGAAAGTCCGCCTGCTCCTGACGTGCAGCAGAGCCCCAGAACATTTCCTCATGACCAGGGACAGAAGTCTTGGCTGCCGATGAGACTCTCTTTGCCTTGCTGGGTCACATCCTGATCCCCTTGCACAGTCGACTTCCAGCCCTTCCTAGATCTGATCTCTTAGGGGCAAAGACAACATAGCCTTCCATTTTAAAGAAGCTCGTTTCGTCTACTTACGTTGGAAGTCTCTTACTCTTTCACCTGATATTTTCTTTCTTTTCTTCCAGATCAGGAATGAAAATTCCATGCTGCTCATAAAGATAATATTATTGTACTAATTATTTTGGTTATTACCATTGTAATTATTATCGTTTTCATCATGTTGATATTTTAGCTGGGGTTTTAAATGCACATTTATTCCCAGTGTCTTTGTGTTTTCTCTTTAATATTTAAACTTATTTTATTATATCTGTGAGTCTCTGAGTAGGCAGGAAGGACATATGGATGTCCAGTTTTGTTAGACAAAACAAAAAACAAAAAAAAAAAAAACAAAAAATAAAAAGGAAAGACACAGGAATTAGGAAAACTGTTTTTTGTCATCTCTAGTTCACAATGAGCCGTCAAGAAAGATCGACCACAGAACAAAAGTTTGAAGAAGAAGCAAGGCCTTGTCTCTGTGCAGGCCAGATGGGACTCTTGACAACATGGTCACCGTCTAGATTCTCAGTGGCCTGGGAAGAGTTCTGAGGTGACATCTCCTGGGCCGGACTCTTAGCTGTGGTTTTCCCCCACGTCCTCTGGGCTCTCCTGTGCTTCTGGAATCTGCTGACTACATTCTTGGCCTGCCTCGCATCTGATGCTTACCTGTCACGCAAAAGAAAGCCCCTCTGCCTAGAGCTGACCAGATGTCCTTCCCTTTCCCCTCAGCGCACCAGGAGTGTGGCCTGTCTCCTTCAGTGCAGAGACGGTTGTCCCCTCCCAGAAGCCACTGAGTGGAATGAGCTGACATAAGGGTGCTAGGCAGGTGGCACCTTCCCCTGGGAAGTTTCAGCCCCACTCCCCTGCCTTCCGCTCACTCACCACACTGCCCACTTCTCCCGTCTCCCCCCCTCCCTCCCCCAAGTACCTCTTCTCAGCACGCAATTCTAGGGACAGAACTAGGAGCCAAAAAAAAGGTCGAGGGATGGTCAGAGGCCAGAGGAGCGCTGGCAATGGCAAGCAGCCCCTCGACATTGTGGGCGCAGCCCCACCTGAAAGCATTGGCCAGCGGAGGGGCACAGTGGGGCCTCACGGCCATCCCCTCAGTGCGCTCTGCCCTGTGCGTGATGGGCTTTCTTTGATTGGCTTGAGGTGCCCACAGACTGCCCACCAAACCCAGAAACTATAGACTTGGGGTTGAAATGCCGGTTTTGCGGAAGATTATGACGAAGGGCGCTGCGGGGCGGTACCCAGCCCTGCAGGCGCTCGGCGAACACGAGCGCGTACTCCCCTCGTCCCCCCCCCCCCCCCTCCCAAGCACAGAGCTGTGGGACCAGAAGACCCCAGTGGGAGAGGCCCCACTCCTCGTGCGCTCCTTAGCACTTGCCCGGACCTCCCGGCCCGTCCTTCGGCTCTGAGTCACCCTGGCCAGTCGGGTGACTGAAAGCCTGCCCGTCCCTAGGACCAAGCTCCCAAGTAAAGGGATGCCAACCTCAGCCTCGTTTCGACCACAAATAACCTAGAGCATCATCTTTTCTTCACTGGCTCAAAATAAAGCATAGCAAAGACGAAGGGGGAAAAATGCAAAAGGACAGGTCAAGGAGAACCATCTAATTGCAGCCTCGGGAAGGACAGGTGGATAATGCTTCTTGTGCTTAGTGCCTCTTTGATGACGTTTGGCTGTTTCCAAGGGAAGGGGTGAGCAGGCCGACGGGTGGGAGAGTCTGAGGCTCGATGCCAATTAATACTGTGAAGCGGTACATGGCGGTTGATGGAATTCAGAGGGAAAGGAAGGGTCGAGGCAAACCCGACGGTTGTCTCCTGGACTGTATCTGCATTCTGGCCTTACTGGCGGTGAGTGGCTTGCAGGCTGGGGGAGCCAGCTGGCCTTGCCTTCTTCACCCTGGAAGACTCAACCCGCCCAGACACCAGATTGTTGGACGTAAGGAAGGGAAGGTGAGATTAGCACAGCTGCTAACAGGCTGATTTCCCTTGACCAGATCTTTGGAAGGGCAGACGCTCATTTGTGAACAAGCGTGTGGTGGAGGATTTCGGTTGTGTGAGTGCGTGTGAGTGAGTGGAGCAGACTTTCTTGGAAACTGGAGGAAGGAGATGAGGAGGCTTAAGGAGCTACTGCTGATGGGCTGTGGTTGGTGAAACGAGGTGTCCGTGAGCCGGCCCCAGCTTTCACCCCAGGCCCTCTGGTGCCGGGGCCCCGGGTGGGGCGTGGGGCCCCTGCTGGCCTGCCCAGCAGCTGCTGGGACAGGGAACAGACACCAGAAGATCACTAGGCGCCCGCACGTAGCAGAGGGAATTCAGCAGGGAGGCGAGGACTCTTTTCCGCAGGCCTGGCCCGCGATTGCACGACGCCGGCGTGAGCCGTTTTGCCAGGAAACATTCCAGCCCCGGAAGCACTTTCCGTGCCGTTCTTTCCGACGCGTCTGGCAGGTTTCAGATGGGGAAGCCTCAAAAATTCAGCAGGCCAGAGATGTCCTTACCAAACTGGAAAGGAAGGTGAAATGTTCCCTTTTTTAGCCAAAGAACCCTTCTCAAAGACCCCTCCAGACAGGGACAAAATGGCATCCCTCTCTTTCCTTTCCGGGCAATAACATCATTAGCGATGCAATTCCATTTGTCTTTCTCTTTCCCGTCTCCTGACTTGTATTCTTTTTTTACTGCATCCATTTCAAACTGTATTCATCTTTTAAGGGGAGTGGAGATTAGTAACCCTAAATGCTGCTGCTATTGGCAACCTGGAGGCACCTCACAAATACGTGGGCTTAACTGATGTCATGTCACCACGGGTACAGAGCGGAGCGGACCCTCCACGGGGAAGCTGAGCTGCATCGGGGGTGGGGGTGGGGGGCGGGGGGGGGGTCCTGCGCACGCTGGAGCTGCTCTTGGGGTGTCAGTACTTTTCCACTTGGATGCCTTAGGACTCTCACTTCTACTCTGCACAGACTAGACTCAGTCGAATCTCAGTTGGGCTACTAGAGAGCTGAAGATGGCGGAAAGACATTTAAACGCAATAGAAACTTCTGAAGGCTTCTGGCACCGATGCTCGCTAGAGTGGCCCAAGCTAGTGGAAGGCCCTCACATCTTTCTCGCGGCTCCCAGAAGTTCCAGAGGGCCAGCTCCCGGCCAGTCGCTCCTTTCAGACTCAGTGAGCAGTACCGAGAAGTGACCCTCCTGCAGAATGCGCTTCCTCAGAGATCCTCCTACATTCCCCCGGCTCGACTCCCCGCAAGTCGTTGAGGGCCCCTAATCTAGACCGCAGCGATAGAACATTCTGTTGACTCCCTCCCGTTTGTTAAAACTCGCAGTGTCCCTCAAGGAAGCAACAGCCAGCATTTGCTGAATGCTTTCAGTCCTCCAGGCCCCACGCCAAGCCCTGTACCCGCTCACCTCTCAGAACCCTCGCCGCCGCCCCACTCACAGAGGAGGAAGCCGACGCTCTGAGAAAGTGACACGTGTCAAAAAAAGGAAATAGAATGGTGGTCCAAAATCTCCACGTTTCTAGTGAAATTTTTGTTATTCGGGACTTCACTGAGCTACCGTTTCGTTTCGCTTTTTTTAATTAACAGCAATGAGTGGCTTCGTGTTTTCCGAGGAACCATTTGACGGCACTTCTGTTCGCCGTGTGCCAAACACTGTGCTAAAACTTGCTCACCGGTCATCTCGAGTCATTTAGTCTTACCACAGTGCTCTGAAAGGGGCACCATTAGCCCCTTTACAGATGAGGCACCCGGCTTGGAGAGCTGGCAGCGTGCCCAGGGCTACACGGCTAGTGAGGGAGCCGGGCCTGGCCCCCGCGGTCGGCCCAGGTCCAAAACCGGGCCCGCGGCCGCCAGCCTCCGCCACCTCCGGTGTGTGTGCTCAGAGAAAACCTTGAAGGAGCGTCACCCCGCGCCATCCCCAGCAGAAGTTCTGAATGAAGAGGGAGCCGTGACCTGGATGCAAGCAGAAAGGGGCAGAGTGCGTTTGACTTTTAGAGAAAGTCTTAGGGGAGTTTCTTTGGATTCATAGTAGAAGTCATTTTAGATTCCTTTCCAGCGTACCAACTAGCTTTAGTAGTGCTGCTACAACAAACTCTTACGAGTGAAGAAAAAAGTGTTCTTTTCTTCTTTTAAAAAAAATAATAATTTTTTCTTGCTTATAGTTAATTCTAGAAAGGCAATACTAAAGGTATATATTTTTTTTAAAATGCTATTTTTTACTGCACTGATAAATATCATGACAATTCTGGTCTCTATAAATCGATCCACTTGTCAGCTCTGGGTAGAACCAGATGCAGGAGTCACACCAAATGTGTAAATACCGTGTGTGGGTCTGGTGTCCAGGAACTTTTTTTCTTTGTGTAAACAAAAGAAAAGGGGGGGGGGGAGGAGAAAAACAAGATGACTTTTGGAAAGAGGAACCAAATAAGGGTTTCTTTTGAGATAGCTTTCTCACAGAAGTAGAAGGAACAGTTGTGTAAACAGAAAAGTCAGCCAACTTTTAGGATATAAGGAAGCAGAGTCTCTTGCCACAGTATGAGATTCACAGTAACACTGAAGCATTTTTAATTTGGTTGAAAGGTGACGAGAATTTAGAAATGCTTTAGGACGAGATTTTTAATTTTTTAGGAACCTGTTATCCTTTGTTATGAAACATCTCCTCAGTTGTTTGGGGTGGGTTTTTTGTTTCTTTTTTATTTAAAAAAAAAAAAAAAAACTTCTTTATTGACTGGCTCCAGGCTTGTTTGCCTCAATTCTTAGGTAGTTTACACAAGTTCTAGAACCTTCTAGAACTTTAACTCCATTGGAAGCAAACCCAACTAATCAGCATTTAAGATCCTGGTTGGTTTCAATAGGTATTCTGACAGAACACCTAAAGATTTTTTTAAAGAAGGTTTTAGATGCATTACCTTACACAAACTGTGACCTAATGGCAATAATTACCTCAACTGTGGGCATTCATCCTGGTTTTAGCCTTTTTTGAAATCATGTAGCCAGCTTGATCTTGGGATTTCAAAGACTATGAACTCTGTGTGGGCTGCAGATAATGATTAATGCACACCCTGGTCATTGTTGCTTAAGTGAATTCTGAAAATAGCTGATCTTTACAACAAAAACTAAACCAAGGAAGAGACTATTCTCTGTGTGTTGTAATGAAATGTGATATTCAAATGCACATGTTGAGTATATATGTTTTTAGCTACTGTAAAATGCTGTTAGCCTTCTAAGATCTCGAGAGAGCCACACTTTAAATGCGTAGACTAAGTAATTGACTGTGGATACTTAATCATATTTCTGGCTACGTTTTATAGCTAAAGTGTTTTATAGTTTACATTTAAACTGGTACTTTTTAAAGAAAATTTCTGTTTATAACTGACATCTTCAAACCCCGGCGACTGCCCCTCCAAGGCAGGTGTTTTCTAACCGTACTCTTATGCAGCCCAACACACACATTTCCCTCCACGTTACTGGTCGTGAACGCGAGAGATCGTGAACGGGTTTCGGGACTGAGTGGGAAGGGGTGAGTCCGTAGCCTGGGCCAGATGTGAACACCTCATGCCATGCTGTATCAACACTTGTCTCTAAAGAGGCCTTCTCTCTGACACCGTGGAAGAGGCAGACAGAACAGATACCTGGTTCACTGATTTTGTCTTGATTTAAATGTTTCATTTCTGTCAATCCACTGACGTCCAGTCACCAGGCAGTAGAAGACACTGGGCTTCGGGTGGCCCTGGAGGTACAGCTGCTATTTCTGCCCACCCCCCCCCCCCCCTGCAATACTTTGATCGGTGTTTTGCAGCGGGGGAGTCATACACCCCTACGCCCCTACTCAATGGCCGGGTTTTCCATATATCTGCTGTCATTAATTCCTCTTCTCCTTTAAAGCAAAATAAACACAAAAGGATGTGTTTACTTTTTACTCTGTCAAAGTTAGAGTTGAAGCCTAGGCCAGTGGGAGCGGGGGAGCTAGATTGCTTCCTAGAGATTGTGTAAGTTGCTGCTGAGCAGGGCAGGGGGGGCCGGGGGACCTAGGGGCAGCTGGGGGAGGGGAGTGGGGCAGAGAGCCCCTGGGAGTAGAGATCTTCCTTGGGACGCTTCAGAGAGTGGGCCCCACTGTCTTACAGGAACAGGCTAGAAAGTGCTGGTTCCCCTAAGAGTTTGGGTTCGTTTCTTGTTTCCTCGTACCACAACCGAAGCGCAGAGGACCCGCTGTGACAAAGGGCATTCCGTTAGCAGAGAAGACCTTGAAAAACACCCGGGACCAGGGAACCGTTGGTGTGTGTTTTCCCTGTGAACTCTGTGGACAGTATGTTCTCGTTACAAATGTTAGGGTAAAATACTCTTGATCTCGCCCTTCCTACTTATCCTTCTGCTTTTCCTCTGTTTGGTTTCTGCCTTTGCTTTAACTAACCAAATTGACTTTATGTCATTGTCTCTGGGGCTTAGCCATGTGTTTAAAAACTAGAAGCATCGAATTTAGCTTTAAGAAAGAAAAGCGAATATGCTGTAATCTGAAAAAAAAAAAAAAAAAAAACTATTGCTCTCTCTAGTTTCCTTTCCACCGCTGTCCACACAAATCTCTCCTGGAACTGCCTCCTCACTTCTTGCGTGGGGTCGGTGTCTCTGTGGCCACCTCAGCCTCCACCCTGCTGCCACCACAGCCCCACACCCGGGCACCCCGGACCCCCAGGACGCTCTCAAGAGCCAGGGAGAAGCACCCCCTTGGCCTCGCGAGCGGTGGTCTTGCCTCCCTGTCAGATGTTCACCCGCTTGGTTGAAGGGGCAATGGATTGCTCATTATTATTAATATTATGATGATGATTTTAATAGTTTTCGGCTCAGGTTATAAGGAAGAACTTGGGAAGTGGAAAGTGACTTGACCATGCCCATCCTTTGTAGCTTTTCCGTGACTTCTGAATGGAACATGAAGCGTCCCCCACCCCCCTCGCCTCTCCTCACTTCCAAGCAGACACCCCCCACCCCCACCCCCACCCAGTGGGCGCCCCCTCCGTCTCGGGGTCTCTCGCCGCCCCGTCACCCTCCCTCTCGCTTTTGTGTTACTGCTCGTTTAAAGCTGTCTTCCGTGGCTTTTCCAGGGCACAATCATTTCTGGCCCCCAAAGCATCTCCATCCTGTTTGTGTGCGTTTTTTAACCAAATGAAGTAGCCCAGGAAGTCCTACTTTGGGGCGGCAGGCTTTCTAGTTTAGTAGAATCACTGTATAGATATAGATGTTGATATATATGTTAGTGTATATATATATCAAACCAAATTTCTGATAGGAGAAGTATAGCTTTACCGATGAGGGGGAAAAGGAGCTGTCAGAAGTCAGGCAGCATCGGCAGCGTAACCGAGCCGGGGCCGGCCCCAGGCCACACCTTCCCTGAGTGGGCCCGAGGCATGGCGCCGGGTGCCTGTCACCCGCCTCGCGGCAGCGGAGGCAGGCGGCCCTGAAGGGTGCTACTGCTCTCTCTGGGTCCCCAGCCTCCAGGGCATAGATGGATGAGTGAGGGGGTGGGGGGGCAGCAAGTCAGAATGACTGGAATTTTCCATCCCATTTTGCTTTGACCACACATATTGAGCTGCAGCCTCTGATACTATATCACGTTTCCGAAAGTGGGATCCATTAGGGTGGAAAGAGAACAGATCCGTAGACACGTTTACCTTCCAACTGCCCATGAATTCCGGACACTGGATAGAAAGACTCACTCCCCAGAATGAGAGCCGGGAAGAGGAGACCCGGTGATGATTGGTCACCAGTCCAAGGAACATGGCTCCCTCCCCAAGGTCACCTTGCCTCCACCTTCCTCCACCAGGTCATCTCAGCTCAATAGCCCTACGAAAGCCCCGGTCTGTTGTGTTCCTTCACTGTACGGTTTCTGTAATGAAAAGTGTTAATCCATGTTAATCTTTGTGAAAATTATTGCGTGCAACAGTATTTTCTCGTGTACCTCTTTTTCCTATGTGAATTGTCCCTCTTTTTTTTATTTATAAATGTCTACTTTTTTAAAAAAAAAACAAACAAACCAATGTGTTGTAGACCTATATGTAACCTATTCCTTAGTCTCATATTATAGGTATGTTATAAGAATGGATATTTTACTTGGCTTTAGAATGTTTTACAAGAAAAATAATTCTTAACTGATCAAGTCCTTGCTACTAAAAATGCTTGTGTTTTTCATCATGATGTCGTGTGCTTCTAAATTAATAATCATTTTCGTTGTAGAAAAATGGAGTGAATTTATATTAGTCTTGGAAACTAATAATAGCATTGTAAATTTATGAGATGATTTTAACAGAAAAAAATTATAGAAGAATATAGTTATTTTAATTGTAATATTACTAACTGTAGGGTGAGAAAGGGGGGTCCCGTTGTGGTGAACTATGTTATAGCTTGTTACTCACAGTTTCTTTTTGATCATTTTTTCGGTCTCTGAGGTGAAACGAGTTATTAATTAAAATTTGTAAACTCACATATGCATATTGTATATGTGTAGAAATGTAATCACACTTTGTCTTGGAATTACATTAAACTGTTTGGAATCACTGTACACTTGGCCTGCCTTGCTTATTTATTCTAGAACTATATGACTAAGGAGGTTACTGTCACAAGCAACGTCTTTTGGAAGTTATTTAGCCCTTCAGAAACTACTTCATACCCTTGAACGCGTTCATAACCCACCACTGCACCTACGGTTTGCCAGGATGCCTGGGGATGGCTTTAGAGGGAGGGCCTTGAGTCCATTTCAACCTCATCCGTTGAGCAGTCATCACCACTAGCTATTTCTAGAACTTCCATCAAGCCAAACAGAAGCTCTGTACCTATTAAACAGTAAAACCCCATTCCCCCTGCCCTTAGCCCTTGGCACCTACCCTTCTGTTTTCTGTCTCCGGGTACGTGGTGTAAGTGGAATCATACAGTATTTGCCCTTTATCTATTTGCCCTGGCCTATTTCACTTAACCGTGTTTTCAAGGCACATATCAGAATTTCCTTCCTTTTTAAGACGGAATCACATCGCACTGTATGTATATACCCCATTTGGATAATCCATTCGTCTGTGGATGGGTAAATCAGCTGTTTCCACCTTTGGGGTTTTGTGAATGATGCTGCCGCGGACATCGGTGTGTAAAAATGAATCCCTGCTTTCGGTTCTTTTGGATCTTCGGAGTGGGATTGCTGGATTAAATGGAAACGCCGAACTTTTTGAGAAACCGCCAGACTTTTCCACAGTAGTCACTCTACATTCCCACCAGCCACACACAGGGATCCAGCTTCCTCACCTGCGCTCTCGTCCTGCCCTCCATCGCCAGCGTTCTCAGGCCTTGGGACCGCCAGGCTCCTGGCCCCCTCCCCCACCCCCCATTATCAGTTCCTCGTGGCTTCCCAGGCTTCCCAGCCAATCAAAACCGCACCCACCTTCCCACCTGTACCCTCCGCTTCCTGCCACCTTTGCTTCTGCCACGCGCGCCTGCTGTGATCCGTCCAACCAGCCGCTTCACTGCTCCTACTGGAGAAGAACCCCCCAAGCCTGTGGACCTCCGCCCGCCTTCGGTGCTCATCCGCCCCCCCCCCCCCCCCGTGGGTAAGTGGAGTGGAAGCCTCCCACAGTGCCCATGCCCTTGACTACCGAACCCTTACTCTGCAGAGTAACCCAGAGAAACCCGGGCCACAGAGCCCCTCAACCCCCACCGCCTCCCACAGACCCATCGGACTCAACCTCCAAGCTTTCTCACTGCGCAGGCTCTTTCTTGCCAAGCGTCCCTGCTTTGGACCTTCCAGTTTTTCTCGCGCGGTGCCCCGCGAGAAGCTGCCTGCGTCCTCTTCCGGAAGCCTGCCCTCGCGCTCCTGATGAGGTCGGTGATCCCCACCCCCCACCCCCCCCCCCCCGCGTCCTGGTCCCCAACCCCTGTGCCTGGTTCTCATTATGCCACACCGTCAACATTTCCTGATTTCCCTTCTCCGCAAAAACCACAAGACCCTTGCAGGTAAGGAACCTCCAGACTTTGTCTTTCGCCTCTGTTGCTATGGCATCTAGTACAATGCCAGGCACAGCTGATTTGGCTAAATCAGCAAACTACTCAGCCCATTTCTCTTACCCTATCAACCTACCTTTTCCTTTGAATTCTGGGTCTCCCAGAATTCAGATAGTACCAACGGAACCTAAATGCTGCCAACACGTGAACTTGGTTCGATACAACTCAGCCAAACTTCAAATTACATAAAAACCGATGCAAAAGATTCTGACAGAACTTCAGAACTCTTCCAGGGTATATCATATTTTTGAATTCTAAATGCACCACCAGGGATCACAGCCCATGGAGGACACGCCCCGGAGCCTGTTCCAAACCACCAGGTGTCCATTTTGGGTGAGTCTGACTTACATGTTGTGTAACTATGCCCTAGGATAGCTGAGCCTAAGCAAATATCAAATACGTATACAAGCAGAGAATACACTAAGAACAGACTGTAAACATAACACTGATGGGACGGTGTCCTCATGACCTCGTGATCTCTGAACTTACCTGTTTCGTCCCTCCTGTCTGCCAGTATGAAGCTTTGAAGCAGGCCGCTTGGGCCCCCTCCCCGACCTTGCACACTGTGTCCCACTTGGGCCACCCAAAGCTCTTCTTAGGAGATCTGTTTCGTCCAGGAGATCTCCCTCAGAAGATCTAATTCCGTTACACCGTCTGGCACTGCTTGAAGATGGAAGAAACCCCCGGCTCAGCGACACCCCCAATCCTCACTCCTCAGGGAAAAAACAGGGCTAGGAGCTAGACGGTGTGTAGGGGGGCCCATCTAATTCGTTTTTCCTGTTGTTTTACCCATGCCGATCTGCAGGAGGCATACAGTCCTTTCTACTGCAACACTTGCCCTTTGAAGTGCTTCGGAAACAACACTGGAGTATAGGTACTCTTGCAGAGAAGCCACTTGGCGTGTACTTTTATGTCTTTTCATGTGCTGTATAAATGCCTTCTGTTTATTGCGGTGGCTCTCAGGGGCCTTAGCAGTTGCAGACTAAGCCCGTGGACCAGGCTGCTTGTGAGAGAACCAAGTACCCACTGATAGATAAAAGGCCAGAGCCGGAAAGAGAAAGTGGATGTTCAGAGGCAGCCCCTGCTGGGGGAAAAAAAAAAAAAAAATCACAGGTCTTAAGATAGCACGGGCCTTGAGCACCAGGCATTGTGTGAAAGTGACAAATCACCAAAATCTACGCCTGACACTAACACTACACGGTATGTTAACTAACTGGAATTTATTTCTTTTTTTAATGTTTTTATTTATTTTTGAGACAGAGAGAGACAGAGCATGAGCAGGGGAGGGGCAGAGAGAGAGAGGGAGACACAGAATCCGAAGCCGGCTCCAGGCTCTGAGCTGTCAGCACAGAGCCCGACGAGGGGCTCGAACTCGCGGACTGTGAGATCATGACCCGAGCCGAAGTCGGACGCCCAACCGACTGAGCTACCCAGGCGCCCCTTAACTAACTGGAATTTAAAGAAAAACTTGAGAAAAAAAAATTTTTTTAAATAAAGAACATTTAAAAACAAAAAAAAAAGAAAAAGGATAGCGGCGGCCAGGGAGGGAGGCAGTAGGGCAGTAGGAGAGAAGGCAGTATTGACAGCATAGTGATTCGGAGCAAGGATGTGGGGACAGCCACCTCCAGCCACTGTTGTTCATGACTGTGAAAGCTGGGAAATCGCTTAATCTCTCAAGCCTCAGTTTTCTTATCTGCAAAATGGGGATAATACTACATGTGACAAGACTGGCTCGATATTCCCCAAAGCCGTTTCTTCTTCTTACTGAGCACACAGCTAGGTTGTATCTCCTAGCACGCTTTGCAGATATATATGACCAGAGCTGGACCCTTAAAAAACTGTCACACATTTATCCACATTCTCTTCCCTCAATTTCTGGCTAGATATGGAAGATCCAGTGAAGGACTCTGAGGGCCTGGGGAACGGTGGGGCCACCAGGTGGAGGAAGCCCAGGGTGCTGAATGACTGGGTGGCCTCCTAATACAACCACACCGGACAAAATCACGAAAGAGCAAGAAATAAGTGTTTCTCTTATATTTAAGACTCTGAAATTAGGGCTGTTTTTATTATAGCAATTAACCTATCCCATCTAATTCAGACATTGGTTCCTGGAAGTGAGGTACTCCTAAAACATCTGAACAACAATACATGGGGGCACCCAGGTGGCTCAGTCGGTTAAGCGTCCAACTTCGGCTCGGGTCGTGATCTCACAGTCTTGAGTTCAAGCCCCGTGTCGGGCTCTGTGCTGACAGCTCGGAGCCTGGAGCCTGCTTCGGATTCTGTGTCTCCCTCTCTCTCAGACCCTCCCCCGCTCCCACTGAATAAACATTAAAAAAAATTTTTTTTAACAAGAATACACGGCATTGGCTTAGCAGCTGGTCAGAGAAATAAGGAAATTGATTTAAGGATCTGGAAAAGTGACAGCCCATGCTATGCTTTCATATAACAGTGGATAATCATGCAGAAATTCTAAGTAGTCTACAAAAAAATCGACCGGAGCTAACAGGTCAACCTGGCCAGATTATAGGATAAAAGGTCAATGTACAAGAATCGATTCTGCTTCTTTATACTAGCAACAAACCGTTGGAATGTGACAATTTTTTAAAAAAAATTATAGTAGCATGAAAAATAAAAGTACCTGAGGATAAGTTTTTTTTTAATTTGTGCAAAAACTCTACCCTTAAAATTTGTAACAGGTTGCTGCGATTTGACAAAAAACTTTTAAAAATTGAGAGAGCTACACTGCTGATTAGAATAGTCAAATTATTAAAATGGCACAGCCCTTCAAATTGATTTACAGATTCAATGCAATTAACAATTGTTAATTACAAAACAATTAACAATTGTTTTGTTAACAATTAACAAAAATAAAACAACAGCAACAACAAACTAGAGCATTAGAGACGCACGTGATAACATCAAACAGCCTTACTTGGAGTCCTGGAAGGAGAAAAGAAGGGTGGGGCGAGAGAAATGTTTAAAGAGGTAAAGGTGAAGAATTCTCCAAAACTGATTCCAAGACATCAACTTGCAGAATCGAGAATCTCAGTGTGTACGAGCGTACAGCCAGTCTGCAATCCTCAGCCTTCCACAGCTGTCTGCTGCCTCCAGGGGACATGCCTGCCACATAGGTGGCCTCCCCAGGGCCCTGTCGAGTGGGGCTGGGTTCGAATCCTGCCTGCACCGCCTCCTAGCTGTGTGATGTGGAGCCAGTCCCTTAACCTCTCTGTTCTTCATCTGTAAGCATGGGCAGATGATAATGCAGGCCTTGCAGGGACGACCAAGCAGACACCAGATGACCTGGCAGCACAACGCCACACGCTTAAAATGGCCTCCCTGTCGTCCTCCAGCGTCGCAGAGGTCTTCTGAGGAGGGTCCGGTGCGCAGGCTCAGCCTTCTGCGGGGGTCCCTGCCCGCTCCTGGGGCTCACCGAGGATGGGACTGGGGTTTGGGCTCAAATCCGCTCAGGGCACAGCAGCCCAGGCTCCAAGCTAAGCACTCTCTCAACTCCAGGGG